TCTGTGGTTGTTCTCTGTCTCTCTGTGGTTGTTTTCCATCTCTTTGTGGTTGTTTTGTGTCTTTGTGGTTGTTTTCTGTCTCTCTGTGGTCGTTTTCTGTCTCTCTGTGGTTGTGCCTCTTTCAGTGACATTCTGCAGATGAATCTGAACTTGCTAAAGTTGCTGCTGTTGGTTGGAAAGCTGCTGCTGAACTTCATTATTCATACCGGAGAGGAAGAGTGGATTTGGTCAACAGATTTTCAGCATTATGATCAGGATGAGGAGCAAACTCTATCAGGACATTCTTACTTTAAATTGAGCGACAGTCACTAAGTTCATCCAGGCCTGCAGTGTTTATAAGAGTAGAGCCTAATCTTAAAGGCATCACATGTCAAAAAGTCTCAAAGTAAAGTGATAAATCAGCATTGTTCACCGTTCTGACATCAGCTCTTCACTAATGCTCTTGTTTGCTGTAATGATCTGGCTCAGAGGCTCACAGACGAACCTCCACGTCTCTGACTGTGGTAGCTCGTTATGGACACAGACCAATCAGTGTTTTGGCATTTCTCAGCGTTCATGAATAAAAGATGTGGTTGCAGAGCTCTGTGGCAGCACAGTGTGTCTGCGGTGAAGCCCACAGCAAGTAGGTTCAGATCTTATCGTATGTGTGTGGAACTGATAATGAACCAGCGTCAGTATGGGTGGTGAATCCTCACAGACACACAAACAGAAGTCATCAGTGGGACAGTTTCCTGCCCACAGTTACAAACAGCACGCTGTAATTGGATGAATATATATGTGTGTGTGCAGTTCGTATGTTCTGTGTTTGTGTGAGAGAGAAATTAAACACAACCAACCTAGTTGAGAGTGTGTTTATTCCAGGAAATCTGGATTATTGACATCAGTGTAAGCATAAATTAAATGTTTATACTGAATCACTGAATTCATGAAGTGAATGGATGGATGATGCAGACATCTCTGTTATAGGGATCATTAGGGATTAGGGAGCTAATAGTGTTAATGATTATAGCATCTGGACCACACTGACAGAAACTGCATCTATTTGTGGTTGTTTGGTGTCTCTTTGTAGATGTTTTGTGTCTGTTTGAGTGTCTTTGCAGCTATGTGTTATAGATGGATGATGGATGGCTCTCTGTAATAGGGATCATAATGATGCTAATGATTATAGCATCTGGACCAAAGTGACAGAAACTGACTGGTTGCCATGTCAGCTAGAGGGACGGATTAGTTCACCATCTGTGTTTGTTCGTTATCAACCTCATCTCTTAGAAATTGTTTATATACAATTAATTTGCAACAGCAAATATGTTTTGAGATTTAAAATATATTTGCTTTCTAGCAATTAACATGGATGCCTATAGTGAAAAGTTCAACTTCAACATGAAAGTTTATTTGCTGCCTCACAAACATGAGTTATATCCTGTATCATAAATAAATAAAAAATAAATAAAGATCCAAACGTATCACCACATTTGATTCTATTGTGTTTTTGTGATTTTTTTCCAATGATTTTCTGATATTTTTTTGTATTATTTTTATTTTTTTATGCTTACACTGATGTCAATAAAGGAAATTTAATTTAAATTTAATTACATTTTATTTTAGTTTCAAATTGAGTTAAATAAACTGAACTTGAGAACCAACACACGGAGAGTTTTAATCAAACATGATTTCTTCAAACTATAAAAAACAATGTATGCTGGGAAGTCTGCTCTGATGCTGATCCTGGTTCTTTAGCTTAACTTAGTTTAATGAGTTGATTGAACTCTTTTTATACTCGTTCATAAGATCAGATAGTTGAAATAAATCAAACTTCTATATTTAAGTTGAATTAATGAAAAAAAAATTGTTGATTCCACTAAATTTCTGTATGAACTTTTACATTGCTGGTTTGCTCCCTCAGTGCATTTTATTTGTGCCTCTCTCCCAGTGCATACTGGGATAATCTGCGACCATCAGTCCACATGCTTCTACGTCCTGTTTTCTGTACGGGTTAGGGTTAGGGCGGGAGAGAGCAGGACCATGCAGCGTTTAATGCTTGGAAATACCGACATTACTTTGAGTTTGACTCGGTAAAAGGTGAAAAAAACATCAGCATCCGCTGTACACTCTGCGTGGAAAGAAAACTTTTATCTAATATTTCATCAAATATTTTATTGCTGTATTTTATTTACATCTATTCGAATGAAGGATTATACAAAAAATATTTTTATTTTATATGCTGGAATATGCAGAAATATAAGTTAACAGAAGAAGGACTTGCTTTATTTCATTAAAATATGGTGGAATGTACAGAAAAAAGGTTTAAATGTTCAACAATTTTCTTCAAGTCAGAGACTGTTGCATTTAATATCATTTTTGCTTGATGCAAAAGATTGAAACTAATAAAACAAGTTTTAAAAAAGAGACTGTTTCATTTGATTCAATTTTAGATGCAGAAAGAATAGAATTAGGCTGAAAAAAAATAGGCTTGAATATAAGTAATCAGTAAAGTAACTGGATTACTTTCTTTGAGAAGTATTCAGTAATCAGTAACTAATTACTATTTTCAAGTAACTTGACCAACACTGCTCAGGGGTGCACTGTCTCAAACTCCGTTCAAGTATAAAATAACAAAACTGGAGATTGTTAATTATTGGTAATAATCAGCCTCTGTATTAAACTGCCTGCAGACGTGTCTCTGCTCTGTTCTGCCTCGGCGATAAGAAATGTAGTTACTGCACAGAAATTACAGATGTTACCTGGAGCCAGACACCGACACCCTGGTGGGATGTGAGCTGTACAGGGCCAAGCAGAGCTCTGCACTAACACTGCTTCTAAAGGTCTGGCACTAAAACGCTTTAAATAATGGTACGATGTCATGGTCCAGGTATTATTATATTATTCCTCATTTCTCTCCAAATAGAGGAAAATAATGAGCATTGCTTTGTGATGATTGAAACCCTGACCTCTCACAGTGAGCTATTAGTAGTTTATAGAATAAAGTTGTCTACTGCTTTGAGGGTGCAGAGGGAGTCAATCATCCTGAAATGGCGCAGGAGGCGTGTTCATTGTGTAATTGAAGGTTTGGGGGCACAGATGATCCCAGCAGTCTCTGGTTTTAATTATAATGTGTGGAGGGAAGGAAGTCATCGCAACGAGAGGGGAACAAAGAGTTACTGGGAAACGGGGATTGTGACAATAACTTAGGCGCTGCAAATTAATTTGGACCTGGTTTGTAAAATTCATATATGTAAATATCAATCGGATATTAATCATAAATCAGACTGAAAGCTGGGAGGAGGAGTGGGGGCGACACATAAAACAACCACAAAGAGACGCAAAACCAAAAAGACACTGATATTAATCGTTAATCAGAGAGCAGGGATGGGGGGGGGGGGGGGGGGGGTACAGAAACACAATCTAAAGAACAATCAGTAAGACGAGCTAATATGTTCTTTTGTGGCTTTAATCGATACTCTTAATAGAACAGGTTCATTAGTGTTCAAGGTCTGTTCACACTATCATATTGGGTCACTAATTGCAATGCATTATTGATTGCACACTAGAGAGACTTATGAGGCTCTGTTTACCATTGCAAATGCAGCTACACTTTCCCAACAACCTCCTCCAGGAAAGAAGTGCAAAAAGTCAATATACAATGATGAGTTCAGGTCTAAGATATTTACACAGTGATTCTGAAGGAATCTCTTCTTTCTTCTTGTATTGGATATCAATTTGTGAAATAGCATTTACGCATAATTTCCAGCTGTTTGTGCTCAAACTGGCGTCTGTCTCACAGCTTCTGTTCTCTGCTGGAACATTATAACATCAGCACCTTTCTATTCTGTTAATGAATCAGCAAAAAAAAAAAAAGGTTGTGACCTTTATGCTCCCAAATGCCTTCTCTCTCCGCTTCCCTACAGTGCCAACAGTGTGCAACACTAGCTAACATTAGCTTATAAATGGAGTCCACAACACAGAGTCCACAACACAGAGTCCAACACAGAGTCCACAACACAGAGTCCAACACAGAGTCCAACACAGAGTCCACAACACAGAGTCCACAACACAGAGTCCAACACAGAGTCCAACACAGAGTCCAACACAGAGTCCAACACAGAGTCCAACACACAGAGTCCACAACACAGAGTCCACAACACAGAGTCCAACACAGAGTCCACAACACAGAGTCCAACACACAGAGTCCACAACACAGAGTCCACAACACAGAGTCCAACACAGAGTCCACAACACAGAGTCCACAACACAGAGTCCAACACAGAGTCCAACACAGAGTCCACAACACAGAGTCCAACACAGAGTCCACAACACAGAGTCCAACACAGAGTCCACAACACAGAGTCCACAACACAGAGTCCAACACAGAGTCCACAACACAGAGTTTAAAGTCAAAGCTAACATTACTGCTAAGCTTGTGGAACATATTGTCTGATTGTGCTTTTAGCTGGATAACGTTAGCTTGGTTGCTAACGTTAGCACTAGAAAAATATTATCTGAGTGGATATGTTAGATGGCTAATCTAAGCTATCCCAGCTAATGTGATCCATGATAAGAAGACTAACGGTTTTGGTGAGTGTTCTTTTATGTGCTTCCAGTTTGAAGTCTTAAAAATGATCCGAGAGGTAAACATTTTTTTTTCCATTAATGGATGCTGGTGGGCCGTAGCGCACATTGTTTTGGGGTGTTTTTGTGTCAGTGAACTAAGTAAATTTAACATTTAAACAAATGAATTCACATGTCAGTAATATTCCAAGCAGCATAAATCAACATAGCTTGTTGCTGTGACATATAACAGATCCGATGAGTTTATTAATATTTCTATCAGTTTGGATATTTTTCCCTTCTGGACAATGATGGTTGGACAGTCAGATAACAATGTGCTTCAGAAAGAAAATCAACCTGAACCTATAAAAATGAGATCTGATGGCCCTACGTCTGAGCATCGGTCACCACCATTGTAGTCTGTTGAAGGTTCATCCACACACAGGTAAACCTACCTGTACACTTCCTGCTGCTCTCGTCTTTCTTGGAGGAGCTCATCAGCTTGCAGTTGAAGTTTTCCTCCCAGTACTCTGCAAACCACACGTTCCTCCGGTTGTTCTCCAGAGTCCGTGACATGAAGTATGCGTCGAACCCTGAAACAGGTCAACAAAACAAAAGAGCTTTACTTGTTATCAGCTTTAGCAATCAGAAACTCGCCAGCGCTCAATGTGACAGCAGCACTCGAGTGTGAAGAGTCACAACAAACAACATGTGTTTATCTGCTCATCTGCAACTTACATTTATGTAAAACATCTAAAGTGCTCTTCAGTTTCAAGAGTCTGCTGGCATCCAGACAAATTCCATCATCAGATAAACGTTTACTATCGTTACTATCTATCAGACGAGTAGTAAGGAATAAAAACATGGATGTGTACACCATTCTGTACGATTATCAGACAAAAGAAATGTCTCTTTTGCAGCTTGCTCTTAAAATCTCTGCAGCAACAAACAAACCTTTCAGCACGTTTAGACTTTAACACTGTTGATTAAATTACAAAAATTATGATTTTCACGATGTTGCTCTAAATTGGCCATTTGGCTCTTCGGTTCTCATATCAGTGTGCTAAAATTATCATGTGAAGCAACAAGATGGCAAATAAAAAATGACAACATAAAGAAGCGTTTTTTAAAAAAAAGCTGCGACCGACTCGCATCAAGCAGCACAGAACAGATCACACTGACAGGAAGTCAGACACATAAATGACATCGAGCATAGGGTCAACTTTCAAAATAAAATACCCCATACCGACTCGGGATCAACTTTCATGCTACATAGTAGAGATGTCACAATACCAGAAATTTAGTAGTCGATACCAATATCAGTGAACTGATACCCAATTTATTAGCACAGTAAAAAAAACCTAAAACACAACAATAATGTTGTTTACTTCAACACTGCTTTATTAAAAACATTTAAACATTACAAAACATAACAACAATGGCCTCTTTTTCTGATCAATGTTTTCTAATGATTCACTTCTTTTCACTTTTTTTAACGTTTTAACAACAGCAGCTGAGCCGCATGTGGAGGAGGCGGCGTGTTGTTAACGACCTAGACTATCAACATGATTGAAACCAACGTGGTACCGATTGACCAGCTGTTCACTCCTGGTCTGAGGTGGTAAAATATCCCCTGTAATCTGTTTTATCAGGTTGGGAAGAATTGAATCCCGGGTACCTACAGTACCGTAGAAAAACTAGTACCGTCACGTTTTGGCATTGACTTGGTACCAAAGTATTTACATCAACACTGTGGCACCAGACCAGAAGTCCATCATTCAGAGGAGATTTGACACCACAGACGATGAGACATTCATCTTAGAAGTGGAAAAAAACACTGTTTGTTTCACAGTCACTCAACACTTTCGGGCAGGAAGATGATTCACGTCTGAAACACCAAACCGCCCTAAAGCCGTGCCTGGTGGACTGTCTGCGTGAGGCTGTGTGTTTTCAGTCAGTCGTATAAATAAAAAACAATAGAGGTCCGAGGATAAAACCCTGAGGAACTCCACAATGTAGCTCAGCTCGATTTGAATTAGATACTGTTCTCTGTCCATTAAAGGTCCAGTGTGAAGGATTTCATGACACAGAGTATTGAAGTCGCAGATTGCAACCAACTGAATACTGCTCAGCCTTTCCAGCGCATAGCAGAAACTACAGAGGCTATTAAAATGTTGAAAAGCACAATAGGACTCGCTCTTTGTAGATGAAAATGTCTCGTTTTAAAGTAACGAAAACACGATTCTTATTTTCAGCTGATTACACACAAATGAAAACATACCTATAGATATTATAGTAATGTGAGTTTAAGGATGATGTACAGTGGAGGGTCAATTTACCAAGCAACAAAAAAAATTACATAAGTTAAAAAATGTCTTCTTGGCACCTTTCTGCAGATTTAAAACAATCCATTTTAGGGTTCCTGTTACACTGTTTTATGACAAAAGTAGAATTTTTGGCAGGACATGAAGATTTGAAGGAATGAATAGAAACTGAGCTCCGGAGCAGCAGGAATAGCTCTGAACATATAACCTCTGCTCAGATCACAATGGGCTGAGAAATGTGAAGGTGGTGAGTAGGTTTCTAATCGCATAAGTAAATTAAGAGATTATCTGTTACTAAAAACAGACTTCTATACAAGGAACAAGAAGACACATTATAAACTAAGACCAGTTTAAAACCATTATGCAATATTTTACAGACCTCACTTTATGCTGCTGATTTATATCATCCTCCCCCTTTTTTTCTTTCAGATTGTTAATTTCTGTTTCTGTGTGAATCCATGTTTGTGAGCAGTGAGTGACCGGGTTGTAACTGATTGTGCTTTTAGCTGGATAACGTAGCTTGCTAGCTTGCTAGCTTGCTAACGTTATTGCTAGCAAAATACTGAGTGGATGTGTTAGTTGGCTAACATTAGCTGGGGAAGCATCATACTAACTTATATATCCTGACAAACGGTGTTGATTTTAGCCAACAATAAATGATGTAGTGGTACAAAGCTAGCGGTAGCTTTCTACTAGCCAAGAGCAATGTGAGGCAGGGGCATCCAGCTAGCTAATACGCATTCCTTCATCCACATGAGGGAATATTTCCTGTTTCAGCGTGTAGAAAGTATTTTTATGACAGTGCTAGTAAAAATGTGTTTATGATGATTGTATTTCTTTCGACTTTGGGACGAATCAGTTTTAAAGAGCTTCTTTTTTAAGGTGAGCCTGCTCAGTGACGTACATTTCTAAACCTAATCCTTATCAAAGCACTGCAGCCTGAGAAATGGATAATATTTCCAAACTGCATTTCTTCTTCTTTGTTGACAGCTTTGTCTCCTCCACTCTATCATTCAGATCCTCACAACAGTCAGAACAGGAAATTGAGTAATAAGGAGAGGAGTCCTTTATCTTAAGAAATGCACTTAATCATGTCTCCATTCTGCCTCTCAGTATTGTCTCGATAGGCTCTTCTCGCTGTCAGCGATGCTGCCGCTGAGACGTCCTTGACAGGCTGTGATGATGTCACTGACGAATACATTTTAATAATTTCTGACGGGCTAAAATTAGGATCTTGACCTCTATAAGTTTCTCAGCGTGGAGTCAGCAGAGTGAAGCTGTCGGGGGAGGACGGGATGGAGTTAAAGGCAGACATAAAAGAGAAGAATATAGAATAGAGGACAAGAGGATAAAACTTGAAAAGACTCCATTACAGTGAGAGATCTGATTCATAATTCACTCTGATGTGATCTCAGGCTGACTGACTCCGGGTGGGGAGATAGTGAGCTGCCTCCCCCCCTGCTAGGGGCAGATATTTCATCTAAGGGCATCTCAGACCTCTCGATGGCCGACACTTCGTTTGCATAACAAAGTGAGAGCTGCCTCACCCCTTCACCACCGCCACCCATCATGTATGAAACAAGTTAATTCATTTCGGATCTCTCTGCATAGTGTTTGGTGTTCAGGTAATCCAAAAGTAACATTAAGTAATAAGTTACTTTAATATTGTGATATTCAGATTAGGTTATTGATTACATTTTTTAACAGTAAATTAGTAATTGTGCAGAGTCCAACACAAAGAGATTAGATTAGATGAAATGCTGAGATCCCTTCTGTGTATTAGGGATGTCACAAGAACCGATACTTTGGTACCAAGTTGATACCAAAATTTGGAAAAGTTGACTTGTTTTTCTGCTGTACCTAAAGTACCAAAGGTCTTTTATAAGTCTTCAAATATTGTAGTCGGCCATTTAAAGCCATAGGAAGATGAACATGTAGAAGACGGCGTCAGGCAGTTTTTCCTTGCCCTTGTCAACCCTAACCCTAACCCCTTATGAATTGGCGCTATACAAATAAAATTGAATTGAACCTAACCCCAAGAAACTGCTTATGGGGTGCTGCTAACGTGGCAGCCAATCACTCCAGCATCTCTCTTCCTGTTTGCATGTTCATACGTGCATGAAGTGTGTATTTCAGCCTGTGTGTGTGTGTGTATAAAAAATAAAAAAGAGTGAAAAAACAATTTCCCCAAAAGGGAATTAATAAAGTATCTATCTATCGTTCATGACATTCAAGTTTTCCTACATGCCTTATAATCAAGAAGGCCTGGTAAGGCTTTGGCGACCCCTAGTGAGCTACAGTGTCATATTGTGAAGAGGAGGGTATCTGGTATCATAAAGAGTATGTTTTAAGCGCACGAATATGAAGCCTTCATGATATTTTTGCTGTGCAGCATATTAGTAAAAGCCTCTTTTATGAAACAATAGTGGGGGTGGCTATTATTGTATTCAGTGGCACTGCAGCTTCTCCTCTGGTCTGACATTATATGCTCCGTAAAGTAGGCTACGTCCCATCAGGGATTCATATGAATTAAGATCAAACACCGTATTCGCCCTCAAGGTTACATCCAGATGCAATTATTGTTGAATCCCCACTTTTTCCCGCGTATGCTCCGCACACTGTTGCACTAATGCTCCTTTCCAAAGAGTAATTACAAGGACATTTCTAATTTAGCTTCCTTTCAAGCTGCGAGGAGATGCCGCAGGAATAATCTGCCCTTCAGTCAGACACAATTTAATGTCTGTTCATTTGTTCATTTGCTGTGAGGAGAGAATATGAAGAGCTGCTTATAGACGGCTTTAACTGTTAAAGTCACATCCAGGGTGGGAACCACCGGGGAGCCAGCCGGAGCTCAGCCCTCTCAATAAGACATAAGCTCCCCTGAAAACATGGTTGGTGAAATTTTAAATTTAAAATATTGACATCATCAGCCTCTCCAGGACTTTGCTTTGTTTGGCCTAAAATGTCTGATTTCACAGAACCCCTTCGTGAAAACTGATGCATGTCGCGATGTTTTAGGCATTTTTATACAATGAAAAACGTGGGAAAAAGTGAAAATTGCAAAAATAGTTCAAAGGCAACTTGTTTCAGTGAGAATAAAATCGCTTTTGAAACAAGGAAGTGAGTTTGGTGACGTAAACAACGATTTGTTGAACTCGCAGAAAAGTTGCAGTGCCGTGCAGAATTCCCAGAGAACGATTGAATCTGAGTTGAAACAGCTTCCTGGAGGGTTGGCTATTCTTGCCACGCATATTTTTCCTTCATGATCA